GCGATCGCGCGTCATGGGCAACTTCATTCGTAAGCGGAGTCTGATCGACATCAGGTCATTCGGCTACTCATCAGCGTTTACCAAGGAGCAGCTAGAGCACTACCAGGACTGTACGTTTTTCACGAAAAAAGACATAATGAGGTACAAGTGTAAGTGATCGGCAATGTCGTCGATGGTTAGTCATTGCTGGGGCATCCGTTTGCTACCGACGATCGGTTTCACCTCTGGTGTCAGTTAGCTACGCTTCGGTTGGTCGCATATCCCTTTCCCGCTGTCCATATCCTCACTGTCAAAGCTGGGCGACCGGAACCATGCGCAAATGATTCTTCTCTCGTTTTGTTTCAGGGGCCATGAAAATCACCGTTCGGTGCGGTGCATAGTCGGATCCATTACGAAACGTTCGCCCGAGCAGTGACAGTTTTCTTTGCATGATCCGGCTTGGAAAAAAATTTTTGTACGGCCATTAGATGGCGCGATGGTCCTTATTACTTTAACCACCGTTGAAAGACAAGGAAAGCTTTAGAATGGCGGTATCCGGTACACTTCCGTGACGGACCTCATAATGGAATACCTTTTTTGCCCTAACTTATTAAGTGGAGCTGATCTTCACTTCGACACCTTTAACTAAGTAAATTGTTTGTTAGCTATGCTCGCGGCAGTGCAGCAAGTGCGATGTATAATTTCAAGTTACCGTCCTTACACTATGGCTTATCTCTTAGGTGAGGAAAAAGAGAGCACAAATATTAGAGATAGCGATTGAAATTCACGAGGCCCAGTGGTTTTCTACAACTCCAACCTTGGCCATTGACCATAGTGCTGCCCTGATCTCAAGAAACACCAAATGTTTGCCTGACATGAAGATTGCTTTGATAGCTGTTCGGTTGCAGACTGAAATTCTTTAAAAGTTACCAAAAGTTGAATACTTGATTACGATCTTCTTGTCTGATCCCAGCACACCACTTAATCAAGATTAAATGGCCCTTGGTATCAATGTTTAAGGGGCTTACGTTTTTATGAAAAGTTTAGTTTGCGAGAAACTTGGTTCGTTTTTCAATCGTGCATAATAAAGATGCACTATGATTGACTGATTGATTGAAACGGCACCCTAGTTCTCCTGACACTAATAGCTGTGAACATTTTTGAGCCAATAAATAAGATTTAAATGACGTGACAAGAGGTTAATATGTCTGCAGCGGTACGTGGCTACACTGACGAACAGCGTTTTCTGTCTATTCCTACCATCAGGTGTTTGTAGCAAATATATTAATGTATTAATCAGTATAAACGAAACATGAAAAAACTCAGCCCCGTGATTTTTGTTGTCTGTGCTCTACTTCCTTGCTTTCTTCACAGATTCCGCCTGTAGTTTTTACTGAATAAACGGTACTTAATTCATAGACGCAGGGCACACTCTTTCACAATTTACATGATCTTTCCGGAATGTGCTTTCAGTATCACTTGTTATAATAAAAGTCGAAATTACGCCACTGTACACCATTCTTCTAATTTAGACTTCATCGTTTCGATTAGTAACTGTTTTGTCATATTTTTGCTCCAAAGTTTGTTGAAATTCGGCATAAACATGGTTAAGCTGCACGCAGCGCAAACAATCGATCTACCGTATGGTATACCAGTACCGACGTTTCTGCGCACACCTCACCGCTCAAAGTTGGCGGTGTTTGATTTCTTTGATGCTGACATCTGAACCGGTTGGATCATCTGTACACGAGATACAGACCAAAACGTCGGTCATAGTATGTCTATGGTGTGTTGTTGTTGTCAGCGTCTTCGCAGGTATCAGCGTCAAAGACCGAATACTATGTTTGATGACGTCTGCCGCTGTGACACTGGATTAACCTTAACATCAGCATCAGTGGTACGATATATCGAGTGTTTGAGTTTAGCGTAACTAAACCTTGCCTATCCACTTTATACCCTGATTGCCAACGCATGCATAAAATGCTCAGTCTTGTAAGTTTGGTTACTATGCGTCAGACGACAAGGACAGACAGTTTATTCAGTGATACGAAAAGAAAGAATACGTTAGAAACAGTTCATACAGTAACTGACAACGCTGCCTGGTTTATTCTGTTACACGAATCTACTTCCGTTGCATTGATTCAGTGGTTCGCTGTTCAAGAGTCCTTTGAAGCGTGCAACGCATCGATTTTCCCCCGTTCTTGAACGAAGTCAGGCGTTTTTGCGCATATGTATAATCGTTTTTACAATTTCTGACTTGTACTGATTTTAAATAA